GTCGATGGAAGCTGTATAAGCATCCGTGATTCACTGTGTTTACGCGTTCCCTTTTACCGAGATATAGCCCTATATGTGTGCCCGCGTAACATATCTAGCGGCTACAGAATTGTACGCAGCCCGTAGAGATCAGAGATTCTACAGATTATAGGCAGGCCGGCGGGGGGGGACGGATGGACGGACGGGCGAAGCGGACGGACCGAACGGAGGGCCGGGACGGCGGGTGGGCGGGGCGGACGTGACAAGCGGACGTATTATGTGTGGAAAAGTGGGAGAGGGTGAAGTGACAGACAGAGAGAGAGAAGAAGCGCAGCGTGAGAGAAATAGCGCCAATCAGAGGAGAGAGAGAGAGAGAGAGCAGAGACGTGGCGCCGAAGAGAAGAAAGAGAGAGAGAGAGAGAGAGAGAGGAAAGAGAAAGAGAAATTTTAATAGAAAAAAACCCATATAAGTAGATAGATAAGAAAAGTAGAGATGAATAGATAGATGGATAGATAGATAGAATAGATAGATAGATAGATAAGATAGATAGATAGATAGATAGAAGATAGATAGATCCCGATAGTATAGATATGATAGATAGATAGATAGAATAGATTAGATGAAGATAGACTAGATAGATAGATTAGAGTTAGATAGATAGATAGATAGATAGACTACGATAGATACGATAGGATAGATAGAATAGACTAGATAGAGTAGATTAGATAGATAGATAGATAAGATAGAATAGATAGATCGATTAGATAAATAGATAAGATAGAGTATGGATAGATTAGTAGATAGATATGATAAATGTGCGCGGCAGGGAGCAAGATTATTTTCCAAAGTGGATGCACGGCATTAGAGCGGTGGGCTTCTGGGTTGGCCGTGTCCTGCAACCTGGGACATGAGGAATTCAATCCAGAATTTTTTCCGCTGCAGGATGTGTGCTGTTTTAACACGAGAGTAGCCGCGATTTTCCTTCCCACTTTATTTATTCATTTATTATTAGTAAGTAGTCAGTAGTAAGTACTTTATTTTAGTACTAATTAGTTTCGCGGCAAGGTGACATGAGAAGTAAGCGAGCTTGCTAGTCTGGGGGTACACTATGACGAGACCACGGGAGTGAGCACCAGTCATCCGACCACCAGACAGACAAACTCTAATGTGTTTTTCTTGTCGGAATTCGAGACGTTGGAAAATGAAATGCGAAGCGTTTTGTAAACGTACAACCTATGTGTGAACCATCGTTCCGTTTTTGGTAGATCTTTTTTAAAACCGTGGTGCTGTGTGTGTGTATGAGCGAGAGAGAGAGAGCAGCAGAAGACTCTGGTTTACTAGTTTGCCAACTAAAAGTCGGTCTATAGTCCACTGTATATATATAGATAATATACTTATATTATAATGTTGCCTCGGGCGCAAACATATCCAGTCGGATAGCGGGACCAGTCCATTGGTGTTAAAAGCTGAACAGAGATGAGCGGAGCTTGGTCTAAATTATCTGTAGAAAAACAATGGTGTTATCGTGTGTGTGTGTGGTGTGTGGTGTGTAGTGTGTGTGTGTGTGCTATGGTGGTGTGTTTCGTGTGTGTGGTGCGGTGTGTCGTTGTGCGTGCGTGTGTGTGTGTGTGTGTGTGTGTGGTGTGTGTGTGTCGTGTGTGTGTGGTGTGTGTGTTGTGTGGTCGGTGCTGTGAGAAGAGAGAGGAGAGAGAGAGACGAGCGATGGAGAGAGAGAGGAGAAAACGGAAGGATCTGGTGCTTTGCTGCTACACAAACTCGTGCATGAGTTTAACATCTTGTTCGGCCAGCTACAGAAAACACGCAGGCCAGAGAGAATGTAATTTATAATACGCCGCCCGCGAGGCTTAATACGCGCTTGTATGGTTAGGTTGTTGACTCGTAACGGTGAGCGATTCGTATTTCACAACTAGCTGATCTTCTAAAAAATTCAAAATACACGTCAGCCGCGCAAGGTGGTCAGAATTGGCCTAACGCGATTACCGACCTCGTCACACGCGACACACCGGCCACCGTCTTCCCTCTGCGCGCTCTGTCCCTGCTCTCTCTCTGCTCTCTCTCCGTGCGTCTCCGTCGTCTCTCACTGCTCAGTCTTTCTCTGTCATCTCTCTCTTTCTCGCCACCCGACAGAGACTCAACCGGGGAGGACAGGTATGAGAACTGGGAGGTTCTTCTCTCTCGCGTCTCTGCGATACAGGCACGGCGCACCAGGCAAACAGCGACGGAAGCATTGCTGCGTACCCAATTTGCTGGACGGTTCTAGAGGTTTTGTTGACATTAGCGCAAAAATATTCTGAAGAACATTCCGGAGATGCATATTCGTTATGCATTGATTGGTTTTTTACTTGGTGAGAGAGTTATGTTCCTTCGGATACTGTTTGCTCGTAACATTCGCTGGAAGGTTCTAGTTTTGGTCCACATTAGCCAAAAATATTCTATAGAACATTCCCATATGCGTTATGCAATTCAATTTGGTATTTTCACTTGGTGAGAGCAGTTATGTTCTTAGGAATGTTCTCTTCGTAACATTCGCTGGAGGTTCTAGTTAGTTACATTAGGCCACAAAACATATTCTAAGAAGCAATTCCCATATCGTTATGCCATTTATTGGTTTAACTTGTGAGGGGAGTTATGTTTTGGAAGTGTTGGAAAACGTTAAGCGACGTTCTCGGATGGGTTGAAACTCCTAACTTGCCGTTTTTGGTGATGTTTGGCTAAAAACCTATAGCACAGTGTAATCCAAATGTAATTATTTGTTTATGATTCATGCACAGTATCTATAATGATCATTTTTGGGAGATGTACTATTGGGGGAGATAAATTGTCCTGCGAGGCTAAGCGGGTACGGGCCAGTACATTTATGCGCATGCGTCGCTTTTCCCACAAAATATGGCCGTTGGAAATTAACTTCAGCAGATTTAATGGTCACGGGTTAAGATTGCTCTTGATCGAGCTAGAAAACAACTCGGATTTGAAGTATGAAAATGAACGATTACTTGTGGCCAGCTTAGCTACAGCCAGTTCGTTGTTGGGATTGTTGTCAGTTCTAATGCGAAATATGGAAAGCAAAAGGTTTTACCCCATAGATTAATTGTGGGTACTATACACGGCGTTAACGGGGTCGTATATAAGATTAAGCCCGAGTCGGTTTAGAGTTAGTGTTAAGAGTTAGGGTTAGGGGTTGGGGTTGGGGGTTGGGGTTTGGGGAATAGGGGTGAACTGTTTTTGTTCCTTAGTGTGTGGGGAGCCTTGCGTACCGGCGTAGCCTGCGAGAGCATTAAGATATCGCTTTGCAGCGCACGACATATGACACGCAACACGGCCGGCGGCCCGTGTGCCCCACCACGAGCGCACGCCGCATCAATACGCGCATGCCGCGCGCGTGCCCACGAATGTACGAACGGAAACACACACACGCTACACAACGAACGATACCACATAACTCTCTTTCCTCTCTTCTCTCTTCTCTCTCTTCTATGCTTATATTTTCTTACTTCTCTACTCTTTAATTCCTCGCTATTTCATCTCTCCCTTCTCTGCCAGGCGGGGTTTGCGATGTAAAGGAAACTAGAAGTCACTTGTATCGTTTCATCTTGCAATTTGTAATCATCTACTTCCGCGCGACGAGAAAAACACTAACAGAGGCGAAGAAGTCACCGACGTCGCGTTGCTAAAAACTTTAACCAGTTTTTTGCTGACCGCAATTTCTGCAAACAGAACAGACTGCGCTTGTGCTATTACACTAGGCATTGGGAAGTGCATTAGCGAATCTTGTGTTATTCATTCATATGTGCTAGTATATAAGACGTTTTAATTGCGTGAAAGGGTGCGTGTGTGATGAATAAGTAACGTGGTTTTGCCCGTGACCGTGGACATGCCAATGTGTGTGAAAAACAAAGGTAATATATACGTGTGAAAGGCTAGTCTATCGATAGTTACGTCCGTGCCTAATCAGTAGTGTCGGCGAGTCACTCATACGCCAAACGGGTGGTTACTAATTGGCCGTAGGAAGCCGAGAACAAAATGTGCGCCAAGCGCCCTGGCATCGACGTGGAGGCGCATTCGAGCGTTTCGCACGTGAAAATACCGTAGAGTTATAGAGCTTGATTCGCTATCTACTTGCTCAATAATCTCTCCAGCAAAGTTGGTTGTTTTTTGTTCCCGGAGATGAAGTGGAGGGTGTGGTGGCCGATCCCGACCCCGACGCGCTAACTGGCTTGAAACGAACAAGCGGATGTTTTTTCATTCATTTAATAATTAAAGGGTTTACATGGAGAATTTACCGGCCGGATTCCTATAGAGCATCTGATTCTTTCTGCGGAATTGCTGCTAAAGCGTGGCAGTAGATATATACTTACTTACTTGCCTCTTTGTCCCCGGGGTGGGACATAAGAACCTTGAAAACTGCAGTAGATGTTTTATAACTATATTACTGGTAAAATAATACGTATATTACTGATACGTATTACTGTAGTGAAACGTAATTATAAGAACTGCAGTACGACGTTTGATGAGCTTCATCCCCATGGGGGAGCAATATTAAACTCCATGCCTCGGGCCTGGGATATTGACTCGGTACGGTGACTGGCATTGTGGTGGCACCCTATTAT